AGTCTAACGAAATAGGAATAACGATGACGTCATTCTCGTTTAACTCGTTCGACTTTACGAACATACCCAATGTTAACTTTACATTCCAAAGATAAAGTTTTTCTTTTCTTGTTTGATGCAGAAGAATTAGTTCTACTTCGTTTGGATGACATAGTAGAGTCTCTCCAGTCTCCGTAGATATAACAAACACAGAAATAAATAACACAAAATAAATTGTAGCTATGTGTGGATTCCGCGCGACACATCCGAACATGTAAGCTGAACAATAGTGTGGGGGAGTCAGTAATCAAGAGTTTCGTGGCGCTCAAACAAAAGACGAATCGACAAGATTTGAAAATCGCGTGACTCCGCGTTCGCGTAAGTCGGCGTAGCGTAAGTCGGGATGTTACTGTACTATACTACATCGAACTTCGCAATTTAAAATGGAATTGTTATTCGTTGAGACATGGCATGTAATTAAAATTTTAATAAACAATAAATAAATGTTTGCATTGTTACTAATAATAAGTTTCATTGGAAATATGTTTCTCAAACACTTCGAAACGTTTCTTAGAATAATAGAATTAATGACTGGATGTCGATGTTTACGAGTTTTGTTTTGAAATAATAGGTGGCGCCACTGTTATTTTTAAATTTTAACGGAAAAAACTGTGAGTAACGTCTTACTACTTTTATTCGACGGAAGAATTGGTTCTTAGTTATAAAAAAATGTAAACGTTTATAATCTCTGTCATTAGAAAATGAAAAACTTTCACTGGAAGAAGCGAAAATGATAACAGCAACAACATTGAATTTAAGGGACGAACATTCCACGTGGATTTTTTTCAAGTAAATGTTCGTATGTTATTTCAATTACGTTCGATCTATTCTCCATCTTATTCCATAATCTAGTAAATAGATTAATTTAATAAATCCGTAAATCTCTTGAAATTTACCGAATTTAAATTTTAAATTAAAGCATAGTTTAGTTATTCCTATAACTTTGTCGTAACTTGACAACTAAACTGATTTATCTTTTGTCTGAATCGTAGGATCAAATGTGCCTTTTGAATCAGAGAAATTGCTTTTGGTGTTATCGTATCGAAAATACTTAATGGATGGCATCACTGTATTTAGTCTAATGAATGAAAGCATTAATAATTGGACCTTATTTATTTTTCAGATTTGTCAACACTCATCTTAAGTATTCCCAAATATCGTTTGTATATTTAAAATATATTTGAGTTAACGAATTTTAAAGTTTATCAAATATTGTCTTAATTTCGAGGAAAAATAAAATTTAATTATATTTTATTCATTATTTAATTTTTACNGTAAGCTGAACAATAGTGTGGGGGAGTCAGTAATCAAGAGTTTCGTGGCGCTCAAACAAAAGACGAATCGACAAGATTTGAAAATCGCGTGACTCCGCGTTCGCGTAAGTCGGCGTAGCGTAAGTCGGGATGTTACTGTACTATACTACATCGAACTTCGCAATTTAAAATGGAATTGTTATTCGTTGAGACATGGCAGGTAATTAAAATTTTAATAAACAATAAATAAATGTTTGCATTGTTACTAATAATAAGTTTCATTGGAAATATGTTTCTCAAACACTTCGAAACGTTTCTTAAAAAAATAGAATTAATGACTGTATGTCCATGTTTACGAGTTTTGTTTTGAAATAATAAGTGGCGCTACTGTTATTTTTAAATTTTAACGGAAAAAACTGTGAGTAACGTCTTACTACTTTTATTCGACGGAAGAATTGGTTCTTAGTTATAAAAAAATGTAAACGTTTATAATCTCTGTCATTAGAAAATGAAAAACTTTCACTGGAAGAAGCGAAAATGATAACAGCAACAACATTGAATTTAAGGGACGAACATTCCACGTGGATTTTTTTCAAGTAAATGTTCGTATGTTATTTCAATTACGTTCGATCTATTCTCCATCTTATTCCATAATCTAGTAAATAGATTAATTTAATAAATCCGTAAATCTCTTGAAATTTACCGAATTTAAATTTTAAATTAAAGCATAGTTTAGTTATTCCTATAACTTTGTCGTAACTTGACAACTAAACTGATTTATCTTTTGTCTGAATCGTAGGATCAAATGTGCCTTTTGAATCAGAGAAATTGCTTTTGGTGTTATCGTATCGAAAATACTTAATGGATGGCATCACTGTATTTAGTCTAATGAATGAAAGCATTAATAATTGGACCTTATTTATTTTTCAGATTTGTCAACACTCATCTTAAGTATTCCCAAATATCGTTTGTATATTTAAAATATATTTGAGTTAACGAATTTTAAAGTTTATCAAATATTGTCTTAATTTCGAGGAAAAATAAAATTTAATTATATTTTATTCATTATTTAATTTTTACATTTTTCCTTTAAGATGTTTCTTGCGGGCACCCAACATCTTTACTGAAGGATATCTGTGAAAAAGTACAAGAATGGAAGAAGGAACTGAATGTTTACTTTACAGATAATGGATTTGAAATGAAAACGATTCATCTGTCTACAGATTTACTGAAAAATTGTGTCAATGAATTAACATGAACATGTTTTGTCAATGCGCTGCGAAGATTGTTATAAACATTTGTTTTCTGTTTTCTTCTTTTTGTAATGCAAACGTGGGGTTGTTTGTTAGATATATTATTTATGTTTGATTGAATTTAGATTTATTTGTTATGTTATTGTGAAGCGTTTATGTCAAGAAATGAAGAATTAATATTTGTTGCGTATCTTTGCAATAATTAGTACGATCGATTTATTTTAATAAAGTTGAATATTTTGTATTTCTTAGATTTCGCCAATACGAAGAAGAAGAAGTTTGTGTGTGGAAACTGTAGAAAAGGATTTTCTCGGAAAGACCGCTTCCAACGTCATAGGATGATTCACACGGGAGAAAAGCTATTCGGTTGCCAGTTATGTGAAAAAAGTTTCATTCAAAGTTGTAATCTACGAAGGCACCTAAGGATTCATACCGGAAAAAAACCTTTTACGTGCGATCATTGCCAACGAAGCTTTACTCAAAGACAAGATCTTGTAAGCCATCTACGCATTCACACAGGAGAAAAGCCGTTCAGTTGCGAGTTATGTGGAAAAAGGTTCACTCAAAGTTGTAATCTACGAACTCACTTGAAGATTCATACCGGAGAGAAGCCTTTTACGTGCGACCATTGCCAACGAAGCTTTACTCTAAGACAGCATCTTGTAAACCATCTTCGCATCCACACGGGAGAAAAGCCGTTTAAATGCGATTATTGTTTACGAAAGTTCTCTGCTAAAAGTAGTTTGTATTCTCACATTAAACGCCATAGCAGAGAGAACATTAATTAATTAACCTAAATATAGTAAACAATTTTAAGGAATAGTAAACAGTTTTAAGAAAACTTGTAAGGAATTATTTAATTTGGAAGATTACAGTTTATTCATTTTTTTCTTTTTCTTCAAACTTTATTTAAGTAGTTTGATTTTAAACTTAAAATAATAACATACTGTATTATTAATGTTATTGTGATAAAGAATTTTTGGAATTGTAATAAAGTGTTTTTATTTTATCGAAATTGTAACATTTGTTTTCTATGAAAATACAGAATAAAAATATTCTTCGTACTATTTTTATGAAACGATATTTTGAATCTGTTTCGAAATTTAATGTTTTATTCCATTACATGTCAAAGTTAAAAATTAACCTAAAGAAATTTTTAAAAGTTTGTTGTTAGAACGAGAATGTATTTTCCTTGTATTTTTAAGACCTTGTACTGTCTGACTTCGGACATTGTTTATAGAAAAAGTTGAAATGTAGAAACGATGNTCGAAATGTAAAAATATGCAGCAAGAGAAAATTGTCAGTTGAATTTTTTTATGGTTTTTTTAAACTGATACCTTATGTTATGGAACTTTGTAATTTTTCAGGGATTTCTTTGCAGAAGGAACAGCGATATCAATTGCAACTTTCACTTTTTGTTTAGAGATATTACTCTGATATTCCTGTGTGACTAACGAGCAAGTTTCTCAGTTACACAAATAACAGTCAGTGAAATCTACTTTACCAGGAAGTTACACTTTTAATGAATATTGCATAGAGGTAAACTTTATAAAAACATTGTTTTTTTCCGACATTTGTTTGACTTTTGACTGACATTCTGTATGGCCTTTATATCTTCTTGAAACGAAAGATATAACGTGATAATAAATGCAAAGTGTTGATGAAAATTGATCTCTACTGAAAAATATCACATTTGTGTTATGTATTTTATTTGTTAGTGTCATTACTGGATAAAGACTCGAAACTGAAGAGTAATGTGTTTTTACTTATACAATTTCTCACATAATTTAAAAATGAAAGTATATTTTGCCTTTAAACATCTTTACATCAATACCGGTGAAAGTTAAAAATTTGATCTATTTTTATTAATTAAACTTAATAAAGTACAGTACATTTCATTTCATACATAGTGTAGTGTTTATGGTAAGTTACACTGAATGTACTGAAAAATAATTATAAAGTACAGTTAACGTAAAAATTGAGATAAGATACTCTTTAAAGTATAATATCAAAGAATAAGTAAATAAATGCAAATATTTTAGTATGTTTGCATAAAGCATGAGCATAATATTTGTAAAATTAATAATTAATTCACACTTTCTTAATATATTATATAAATTTCCATCATATAAAATTACTGAACATAGTATATACACGAAATTTTTTATTTTATAATACTGTAGAACCCCTTTAATCCGTCACCTTTGGGACAGAGGGTATGGTCAGAACGCAAAAAAGGTCGGATTATCAGAAAAAAGTAAAATAAACAATCTTCCCCTTTGTCCAGTCTTTGTAGCACTGCTAATTTTTCATGTAATGAAAGAGTAACGTGTTTACGTTTCACTCCTGACATGTTGAAAACACACACAAAACTTACATGGACACACAATGTAAAACATATACTGTAACGAACACAGAAAAACCCCACGGACGGTGAATCACCGACGAGTCGGGACAAGTTTCTCGACTCCGACCACGGTCGGATTAACCGGAGTGACGGACTAGCCAAGGGCGGACAAGAGGGGTTCTACTGTAGCTGATTACATTTTTAAACTTTATCTATAATTTTGGAGAATGTTTATTTCAACTGTGTGAGTGATGACTACAATTAAATTGAACGAAAGTATTATTACAGTATATTAAATGAAATTTAATAATATTTATGAGTCAATGATTTTTATGATTAATATTTATAATTAATACTAGCTTACCCGTCGCGCATTGCTGCGATCTCAGAAGAAATGAAATTCAAGCAAACTCGTTATGATAAAATTCAATTTACATTTTATCATTTTTATTGAAACTTATTCTTATTATTCATTTTAATTGGGAAAACATTTCAAAGTGTCGTTTCAATTCTATGGAATTATCTTTGTTTGGAATGTACGTTAACAAATTCGGCTGTTGCTGCAGGTATTTCTAGAAAGGCTGAAATCGATTCGTCAAACCACATACGTTTGGTGATGCTTATAGTATAACATGTCATTATTTAAAATTGGAGGTCTTAATAAAACCGTCGAAATAGATGATACAGTAATATGGAAACGCTAGTACTAAAGAAGGCGTATATTGACATCTACAAAATGGGTCGTGGGGAGGACAAAATAAGCTTCATTTGTCAAGTGAACGACATATCTGAAACCACTCTTAATTGGGTTGTAATTCTGGTAGTCCTTTTATCACCGATGAATGAAAAGGATATAATACATCGACGACATTGATGAAACAGATATCGAACATATAACAGTTAATCATTTAAAAAATTTGTAAACCTCAAAATGGGCGATCATACTGAAAACATCGTAAGGTTATGGGGTTATTTAAAAAATAAAAATGCCTGCCGAAGCATTACACGGATGATCTGTCGGACTCACACACGTATGTGTTTATGTATAAGAAGTTCATGAATTGGCCTGCTAGAAAACCTGGAGAAAGATTTCAAATATTTTAAAAATACCTGAGTATGATATATCCAAGTAGCGGAAGAAGACCGAAATGGGTGGAATCAGAGTGTTGCCGCCGCACCAGTTTCAAACATTAAAAAGAAAGAAACGCGTGAATAAGGGGTAAAAAGACAAGACGACAACGAAATCTACTAAGGAGACAAAGAAACGAACGTCGACGCTGCAGAGGAATCGACTATGTCAGGGAAGAAACGTAGGAAAGAAAGAAAAAGGATCAATAACGTTAGAAAATTTTTATAAAGTTACTAGATTATGTAATCTTACTTTAGGAGGAGTGTCCTCTTCTTTCAAAATATCAGTTATCGCGCATTTTCGAGAACAGATTGTTGAATAACTGTGATATCTGCGCATGGATCACAGAGTTCTTGAACTTCTCTTTGATTGTTAATGGTAGCAGGTATTAAAGGCACGTTTTTTTATATCGGTCTTAATGCAGTTTTTCCAAAAGGAACTTTTTCCAAGAGAGCGTTTTCGGCTTATATGTAATCAACTAAGCTTTCGTTCCTTTTCAGTTTCCGATCATCTTGATAAGCTAAAAATTCTTGCATAGTAATATGTCTTTTAAATCTTGATGTAATGGCAACTTTTCAATCTATCCAATTATTGTAACAGTTACCTTGAGGTAATTGCCAATTTCTAGCAGATCCAGCGAAACGTGAGATAGTATTAGTCAATTTGAGTTCATCAGTCCAGTTTGCCAATGTTGAAATTCTTTCAACCTCTTTTAGCCACTCGAGCGCACTATCAATTATATCACCACGAAATATCAGAATGGAATTTGCTGTGTCATTAGTTGACGCGATTTGAATAGTACTTGGCGAATTTATTTGTCTCTCAATCAACTGTTTTTGAGATTCCATTAGCGTGGTCAGAACCGCGGCAATATTAGGATCCAGTTGCGAAGTAGGTGCAGGAATTTGTGGCGTATTAGTGCGATAATTTAGGGTTTTAACTTGTGCTAAATTGTTTTCAGATTATCGAATTAAGGATATCTACCGTTATGGACCCAAAATTGCAGCGGGTTAAAATCTAAAGGCTGGCTCGATAGTTCGTTCGATATACTGCCGGAAAGCAATAATTGTTTCTGTTGTTCAATTATTTGTATTTGTCGAATGTCTACTTCTTTAAAAAAAAACTCAAAAACATTGCGTGAATTATTTAAACTTACGTCTCTATTTATCATTTCATTTTCGAGTGTAGATGATTCGGCATTTATTGAAATTACATTTATTTTATTTGCATGTTCACTTGTTATTGTTTTTGAAAAATTTATGTAGTTCTCCTTATGTCGAAAAGCGGAACTTTTGAATTTAGAATATAAAATTGTCGAAATGTCAGATATAGTTCGTGTTTCGTAACCATTTAATGTTTTGAATATTTTTACTTTCAATGATTGCAATAACTTTTTACTACATTCTATAGTAACAGAATTTTATGATGTGTTTAACTCGAAGTGAAGTCCATGAACAATTAAAGCATTGAAGATATGGTAATGTACAGTACGTAATAAACAAGGAAGCGAGCCGAATCCTAACGGGAGC